GAAACCAGAAGAGGGCATTGGATCCCCTAGAACTGGAGTTACAGACAGTCGTTAGCTGCCATGGGGGTGCTGGGAACCAATCCTAGGTCTTCTGCAAGACTAGCCAGTGCCCTCAACTGCTAAGCCATCTCTCCAGCCCCCTGCATGATTTTTTTTTAATTAATGCAACATAAGACATTAGCACGGAGATAGATATATATATATATCCCAAGGTGCCCTGAAACTTGGTATGTAGACTAGATATGGAACTTGCTGCAATCCTCCTTCTGCCTCTGCTTTCCAAGTTCTGGGATTAAAGGTATGTGACACCATGAAACAGTCTCTTTAGGGCCAACAAGATAGCTCAGTAGGGAAGAGCACTTGTCAAGCCTTATGACCTGAATTCAATCCCCAACTCCCCAAAATTGTCCTCTGACCTCCACACATGCACTGTGACATACCCCACCCCCAAAGAAATGTAACTTTAAATTTTAAAAAATGTTTAATATTTAAAGTCAGGGGGCTAGAGAGATGGCTCAGTGGTTAAGAGCACTGACTGCTCTTGCCGAGGACCCAGGCTCGATTCCCAGCACCCACATGATGGCTACAAACCGTCCTTAACTCCAGTTCCAGGGGAATCCAACGCCCTCTTCTGACCTCCGTAGCATTGCATGACACAGGTACACTCACATACATGCAGGCAATACACTTATACACATAAAAAATTAAAATAATAAATAAACTATATTAAAGTCAGGTGTAATCCCAGCATTCAGGAGACAGAGACAGAAGGACTGGTATGAGTTTGAGGCCAGCCTGGCCTACAATGTGAAACCCTATTTCAAAATAAAATAAATAATGGGGTTGGAGAGATGGCTCAGTGGTTACAAGCACATACTGCTTTTCCAGAGGACCTGAGTTCTGTTCCCAGCATCCATATGAAGTGGCTCATAACTCCCTGTAGCTCCAGGTCCAAGGGGATCAATGCCTCTGACCTCTCTAAAAATACTTGCACACTTGCACACATCCACACATAATTAAAATAAATCTTTCAGAAATATACAAAACCCAGGGGCTGGAGAGATGACTCAGCAGTTAAGAACACTGGTTGTTCTTGCAAAAGACCCAGGTTCGAATCCCAGCACCCACATAGCAGCTAACAACTGTCTGAAACTCCAGTTCCAAGGGATCCAACAGCCTCTTCTGTCTTTCGTGGGCATTGCACAACAAGGGTGCATTTACCTACACACAGGCAATACACACATACACATAAAATAAAAATAATAAAATATATATTAAAAAGAGGGGCTAGAGAGATGGTTCAGCGGTTAAGAGCACTGACTGCTCTTGCAGAAGACCCAGCTTCAATTCCCGTCACCAACATGGCGGCTACATCCTTAACTCCAGTTCCAGGGGAATCCGAAGCCCTCTTCTGACCTCCATGACACTGCACAACACAGGTGCACTCACATACATGCAGGCAATATACTCATACACATAAAATAAAAATAATAAATAAA